TGGTTGGATCAAACGATATTATTAGAATAATAACCTGGTTTTAAGATACTAAAAAAATAATAGGTATGTTGGTTGGATCAAACGATATTATTAGAATAATAACCTGGTTTTAAGATACTAAAAAAATAATAGGTATGTTGGTTGGATCAAACGATATTATTAGAATAATAACCTGGTTTTAAGATACTAAAAAAATAATAGGTATGTTGGTTGGATCAAATGATATTATTAGAATAATAACCTCGTTTTAAGACACTAAAAAAATAATAGGTATGTTGGTTGGATCAAACGATATTATTAGAATAATAACCTGGTTTTAAGATACTAAAAAAATAATAGGTATGTTGGTTGGATCAAACGATATTATTAGAATAATAACCTCGGTTTTAAGACACTAAAAAAATAATAGGTATGTTGGTTGGATCAAACGGTATTATTAGAATAATAACCTGGTTTTAAGACACTAAAAAAAATAATATACACTTCTTTAGAGCATAAATGAATTGAAGGTGGCATCCTACATAAGGTTAAATGTTTAAGGTGTATGAACAGTCCTATACAAATGGGATATCTGTATGGTGGAAATACAAAGTTATTAGAAAAGTAACACGAATATACTTGGAGTTGTCTAAGTTCTTCTTCTTTTAAGCTTGTGTCCACCAGTCGTATTAACATGCTGTTTTTTTAAAACATCAATTGAATCTATGGACTCCAAACCTCTAAAAATCTTAAAAACCTCAAACAAGCCTTTTTGAGAACTTCTCTTCAGCAAACATATGCCAAATCAAGAACAAGTTTGTAGAAAGTCTGAAATCTTTCAAGAAAATCAATATATCTTCTGTAATTAGGATGAAGCCTTACCAAAATTTTAACATTCAATACAGACAATTTGTTCCTTCAAAGCCATCCCTGCATTCAACATATATTTTTCAAGAAATTATTAATTTCAGCTCTTATAAACCACTGATTTCCGATGCTACCAAAGGCAGTTCATTCTATAAACCAATCATCTTTTCATAAAAATAAAACAGCCTTAGCTGGAGTCTAGCCTATCATTTCCAAACTTTAAACTTCTGACCCTTCATCCTATTGTCTTCAGAATATAGCACAACAAATCAGAATATTTTATCCTACTGATTCCCTAAATAATCATGTAAACTTTAATTTAATTTTCATAACATTATACGTTCTTCCTAAACAGTCAAAAATGGTCTCTACCGTGGATAAAAGCAATGTAATAATATCATTGCATCAATTTAAATATTTATTATCATATGTATGTGTGTGTGTGTGTGTGTGAGTTATGATGGTTTGTTAATTAGAGGTACGTGTACTTGCATTTTAGGTTTAGAGGTACACCTTTTTAAATGTTTGCACGTACTTGCTACGTTTCTGCATTTCAGAATTTTCACAAACTCGTGCATTTCTAGCAATAGAACAAAATGTGAACAAAATACTTGTTAAATGAGCAAAGTATAACGATAAAACCTGTTGTCCCAAGCATCAACTAATATGAATTCCACATTCTTGCATTACCTCACATTTATTATAATTACAACTAATTTGATAAATATTTGTCTAATTAACCAACTGATCCAAGTCATTCTGTAGTACCTCAACATCCTCAATAAAGATAGAAATAATTAAGAGTTTAATGTCATCCACATATGTAGTGAGTCAAAGAATCTTGTTAATTCCAGAGTAACATAAAACATTCAAATTATTAATCAAAACAGAACCCCTGTGGTTTTGAAAAAATTTAAATTAGGTCACAAAATCATAACTAATTACTTAATATATCTTTGAAACTAAAGTTGATGACTACTAAAACTAGGTATGAATAAATTGAACAATAGGGTCATTCACTTCTGAATGTAGTCTTTATTTATACAGTTAGCTTATTTTAGTTTATCACTTTAACCATTTCTAATTCTCAGTAGGTAAGTCACAATTGTTTTTTTTTATATTTCTGTTACAATAAATATGCAAATATGAGTTACTTACCCAAAATCATCATCCATCGACTTGAAAAAGAACTTAAAGTTTGGTCTGTTTAAGACATTTTTAAAGTCACCAAGTGTAACCCGGTTGGGATGTATAGGTAACTTGACTAAATATGGTGTGTCTTCTTCGTCAATATAGTAGATTATCTTGGTTTCTTCCATTGTTTTTCAAGTTCGATATTTTCATACAAAATATCTTCAAAAGTCTTGTGGTTAAAATTACTTACTACTAGTAGTAGTCCAAAAATTACAAAGTCTAATTGGATTGACATAAACTATATCATATTTATAATTATATATCCAGTCACAGCTGTACGTAATTTGTTACTTTGTATAAATATTAAAATTTAAAATAGTCTTAAGCAAGCCTATGAATTTTTTTACCCGAAAAAAATAGTCTACAAAATGAAATGTTAACAAGAACATTTCAATAGTATATATCCAAAAGACTTTTTAAGTTACACTGAACAAATTCACAATGCTTAACGTTATAACAATAACACTAAAAGCACAACTTAAGAAATTGAAACACCATGAACCAACGCTTATTGTTTACATTCTGCAGTTCTCGAAATCGTAGATTTAACTCTAATTTTAACACTACCATTTAGCACTTTTCTTTAAATTCACCATCAATCTATTACATACGGCAAAGAAAAAATTCTAAAGCTTCTAAAACGTAATCATTTGTAATTTTTCTACCAAGTATTGTTTTAACACATTTTGACTGCGGTCAATGACGCTTCTCAGTATTAATCTCATCTCAATTCAAAATGGCGACACCATTACCTCCTCCTAAGTCTTATGCGACATTTAACTTATTAATTAAAGATAAAAATAGCTATTACTTTTTCATATAAACACATTGCGTTGGAAAATTACTGTAATTATTTTATTAAATAAGTGAAAGTGATAGAAATATGCACATTTTTTTACTTATAATGTTACATATATTTCTACATATTTCGTTGCACCTTTTACGACGTCTAGCGATGGCAATTTATTTTTAATAAAAACATCTTTTTTTTTCAAATCAAAATCCTAGCAGTTTCTGAATTTTCGCGAAAGTTACACCAAGGGCTATCTGCACGAGACGTTCCTAATTTTTGGCTTGTAGACTAGATGGAAAGCCCCTATTACCAAATCGTGGGCTACACTCAATATTCCCAACTATCAACAGTGAATTTTCACCAGACGTCTTCAAAACATGGCCCAGGTTTTCGCAATTTCAAGATTCGTATACAATTTAAGGTATTAATTTATTCAACTAAACATGAAAAAAAAAACACTAGCAAACTATGAAAAAATATAAAGCTAACAAAACCAGTTGATCTTATCGATCTGTCTTAATTTTTTAAAATTTATCAATTTCAGAGTTATATTTAAAGGAATAAAGGATTTGCAGCAAAATTTTTGTTCTTAAAACTCGTTTGGATCATTAAAATTGAAATTTGCGAATCTTCCAACATCGTGTTCAAGATTTTGCATTTAACCACATTCACTATGGAAAACACTCTTTCCACTAGAGCACTGCTTAGCGGCAGAGATAATGGGTTCTAAGTGACCATAACTATGTTCGCAAATAGCTGTAGTTCCACTGGATGCTTATATTTCTTCAATTTGCTCCATAAATAAGCAGCATCAGTCGGGATTGGTATATCTGAGCAATTCAGTCAACCAAAATCATATAATTGTTCAAACTCAGAAAAACCACTAGGCTCATAAACTAGTTTTAACAGTAGTTCTCAAAAACCATCTCAGCTTGCTTGATCCAAACCCAAACTTTGAGAAAGGTATTAGATCTTCTAAAGAACCTACAGTGTTGTGGAAGCCTTTTCAGTACTTCAGCAGCTACGACCCTCTGAAAGTTGAAACATTTCTTCTTCACTCCAATTTTTGCCTCGGCGTCCATTTTGGTGGCTCTTACTTCCTTGAGAATTTCTAAACCAAAGTCAATCTCTCCAAGTGGTTCATAGAACGGAACAAAATGTAGGTGAACATCTAACATGACAACTGATGGAAGGGGAAGAAAAAAGAAGCGTGCATTTCACTAGACTGGGAGCAAATGTTTCTAGCTCTTTGAACAAGGATAGATTATTTTCTTCTATTGTTGAAGAAAAATACACTCAATCGCCGGAGAACTAAGAGAACTGGCTTCAAAAACAAGAGAAACAGTCATTTCTATTCGTTCTTCTATATCTCACTCATACCAAGGGCCATGTAGCAATGTTCATGAGCACTTATAATCTGAAAATGGGTTTTCGTGTCAATCCATAAGTCAAGGATCTTGACAACTGCACTGCATCTAGGCAACCACATTATTTGAGAAGTCAGAATGAGGCTTAAAGTTTCTCTCTCTCATTAATTATGGCTTATGGCTGTTTATGCACTTTCTGTCGGATCATGTTCACTCTAAATCATGGAAAGGTTTCTCTCATCATAAAGTCAGTGCATAATGGTATCTCCTGGATTTCTATGCAAGCACCCAAATGGGGAAAATGATGGACATATTTCAACAAAACTACTTCTAGACATATTTCGTTCAGTTTTCTAAAAAAGAGGGTAATTACATCCTGACAAATTATTGGCACTATCTATGTTAGGATCAATGTAATTTTCAATTTCATTTTCATTTTCTTCAGGTAATTAGCAAAGTAGAGAACATGTCACCTGCTGTAATAATGGATGCAAACATACATGCATTTCGAGACTGCAACATTAGTAGATTCATCAATTATGAGAGAAAACTTTGGATCCACAATATCTTTGAAATTTCATATGCCAGGGATAAACCTATCATATTGTTACGTCTCCGTTTGTTAATTAACTTTCCGTAACTTCGTTCCGACGAAACTTAAGCAACACAAGTCCTTTCTTAACAAAACTGGTTTATTATTTCCGAATATAACTTTACCAATACACTCAACTTCAACAATCGCGCTAAACAAACGCTGTAACGTCTCTCGTGCTTTCTGACTGCAGTTCAATTACTCACTGTCTATACACACCTTACATTACCTTCCCGCGTCACGTTTTCCCCCTCTTATATATACCAGACTACCCTATCTAGTAAATACTAGAGCATTCATGAAAGAACAAGATAGTTCTAGAAACTAGAGGGCGCCACAGTAGTCATGGACTCGTTGCGTCAGGTTGTTGAGCCTTATAACTGTGCAGGCAAATCCTTTTTTGTTGTTGTTGTTTAAGATCATTTAAGTAGGCAGTGGTTACTGTCGACTGGTTGCCCTTCCTCTGGTAATTCTTATTGGTTATTTCTGAGTTTTCTCATCTGGCTTTTAAGTCCACGTGTCGTATAAGGTATTTGGTAGTAAGGAGCGTTTTCAACGATGTATCGCGGTTCAAACCTAGGATCTTCTAATTCGCTGCCC